GAAATATTGTCCGGGTCAATCACCGGAGGCCGCAGAGGGCATGTGAGCCATCAGCCATAATAAAAACTGATTTTTAACAATACGCCTATTTTAGGGCAGAAAACATTATGCCTGAACATCGGATCCTCGAACTCCATTTAGTGCTTTTCCCGATTTTCGGCACCAGGGCCTCGTTTTATAAAGCGAGTCCGTAACTTACGTCGGTTTTTGGTCTTGAATTGTATTGTATTGTATTGTATTGTCTTAATCGAATCGAATTGCAAGTGCATGTGAACTGTGAAGCGATGACGATAGTTTGAATCGTTAAATTTATTTATCTTGTAAGCAAAAACAGAAGGGAGAGGGGAAAATAACTATTGCTTCACATGCACTTGCAATACAAGACCAAAAATCGGCGTAAGTTACGGACTCGCTTTATAAAACGAGGCCCAGGTTGCCGGTTGGACCCCCAGTATCCCAATTAACATTCATTTATGTAATAAGTAACAATTTTCGTGGTGATAATTGCGGGAAAATAATTACTTCACGTGTCACGCCGAACGTGTGGTTACAATAGCGTGAAAAACACACGTTGGTAGGGACTGTGATCCTTCCACATAAGAGCATCAGGTTCGATAGTGCCTTACACTTTTTCGACTCGCAAAATTCATGTTACACTACATCCAGTGCTTTTCTCATATTCATGGTACCCAGACTTGCATATGCGTTGCAAGGTAATGCTAACGCCAGTTCAGGCAGGACGACAACATCGTCAATTACATGCATTTGTGATCACACATTTAATGCTACCTATTAAAGCAAGAAATGAAATGCGCTTCCTCAGGGCCTCTGACCAAGTTACTTTGGAGGAATAAAGGTTGCAAAATACCGCCACAAAGACTTCTCAACATGTCTTGATCGCACACGCTGTCAAACAATTTTAGCTCGTAAGCCGTGTAAACCCTTCAGTCTCTTCGTGAAACTGCAGGGAATAAATTAAAATTAGAAGAAAAAAAAAACATCAAAGGCGGCAAACTAGAAAGGACAACGAAATGTCCTCTGAAACACACTCGTCGAGGCGAGAGGGCGGAAAGGGCACTGGAGCGAACGCAGAACACTTTCACGTGTAGGTGTTGGCTCAGAGGGCATGCATGACAGGACAGCCTTTCACTGAGCGAGTCCGTGCCTTTTGTTGCCGCCTTTTCTAACACGTGTGGGTAGTGTCGGTACCGCACCGCCGACCCTTTGTCCAGTGTACGGGCGGAGCGGGCCGGTAGACGGACGACGGACGGCGGGGGGGGGGGGGGAGGGGAGGGCGGCAGACGGACAGGTGAAGGCGCCTCACTGGAGACGACGAGCGACGGGTGGAAGGGAGAGTGAAGGAGGGAATATTGGGACGAGCTGGATGTGTAATGAGAGTGACGCCGGTCCGGCGGTCCAAGGCCGTATAAGAGAGGTAGAATCATCCCGCAATTTCCAATGGACCGGTCGCTAAGCATTAGCGTGACGTCACTGGTGGATGCCGCGCGGCGCCCGGCTCCAAGCCGTACGTCGGGTACATTTGGCACTTTATCGTTGCTATTACTGAACGTAACGACTACTAATGACTCTTAATAACTTTTTTACCCACCTAAAGCTGATTTCCTTGCCGATGCATTGCCGACCCGAGCCCCAGGGTTGACAATCTTGGGATAAATGGGTCGAATGGGCGACCTCGCGACGGGAGAAGGAACGATTGCAATTGTTGTGTCCCGCACCGCCGATTGCATTCTCTATCTGCACCCGGAGGGGGGGGGGGGCAGGGGGCACGTGCCCCCATCGGATCAGGGGGCCTCTCGGGCCCGAGGGGCCCTGCGACGCCAATTGGCGGCTGAGGGTCCACGCTGGCATTTTCGACTCAGAAGGGCCCCGCAGGGCTCGAAAGAACATCTTATGTGCTCCGAATAGCCACACAATAGCCACATTTCTCTCCATAAGAGCCACACACCGGCTTTTTATTGTTCCTTGTCGGTATTTGAGGGCCCCTTGCCGGCCTCTCAGGGCCCATTGGCGACCTCTGAGGGCTACTTGCCTGCCTCTGAGGGCCCTTACCGGCCTATCAGGGACCAGCAGCTCTAAGGGTTCCACACACGCCTGTGATGACCCCCTAAACCAATGGTTGAAGGCCCCCACAACGGCGCCTGCGAGGGCCCTCACCGGCGGCTGTGAAAGCCCCAAAGCGGTGCCCATCTGAGGGCCCCACACTGCCACCTCTGAGTTCAACCGACACCCCTGAATGAAGTTCCAAAGGCCCAAACCAGTGCTTCTTAAGGCCATATATCGGCGGCTCTGAGGGCTCAACGCCGGAGCCTCTGACGGCCTAAGACGGGACCTTCGCATCGGACGGCCACTCACCGGTGACTTTTGAGGGCCCCGCACCGACGACTCTGAGGGCCCCCACCGGCGTCTGAGAGTAGGTACCTTGCTGGTCTCTGAGGACTCCACAGGGCTCCTGAAGACACCGCAGACCTCTTAAGGGCCCTTTGTCGGTCTCTGAGAGCCCCTGTCGGCTTATAAAGGGTTCGAGCCAGCAGCTCTAAGGGTCCCATTCCCGACTGTGATGACCCCACACTGCAGTGTCTCTGAGGGCCCACAATGGCAACTGTGAGGACCCTCACCGGCGCCTCTGAGGGCCACACACTAGCACCTCAGAGGGCCCACAGCGGCACCTCCGGGGCCCCGCACCAATGCCTCTGAGGGCCCACACCAGTGCCTCCAAAGGCTTCATAACCGGCGGCCCTGAGGGCACTACACCGGTGATTTTTGGGGGCCTACCGAAGGCACAACACAATCCCATAACTAACTTTATCTTATGTTAACTTCTGTAACGTTTCCCCGCTCCCTTTACCTCAATCTCTCGTTGTCACCGTTGGCTGTTGATCGGCCTCCCATCTCTCGTGGCTGCGTCCTTGAAGTAGGTACATCTACGCCCTATTGGTATGCACATACTTCGCAGCCCGAGAGACAGGTGACGGACGGAGGAAGAGGATGAGGAAATTGTCACCTACGCTACTATTGACATACGAACCATTCCCTGGAGGTGACGGGGTGGTTGGCGGGGATTCGACGCTGTCAGGATGGTTGGGGTAGCCAAACGTTACCTTTAACAATCATTTAGTCTCGCTGAGTTTCCATCCCAATTCCATACCGGCTTCTATCCCAGTTCCGGCTCTAGCAATCCCCCCCCCCCCATGGGTCAGCGGCGCCGCGCCGGTGTCGGTGCCGGGGGCCAGCGCCATCGGGGCGGCAGTCGGCCACGCGCACTCAGTGGTTAGCGCTTAGCACCGGCGGCTAGCGCACGCCCGGCGTGTTATCGGCCGTGAGCCGCTCCAAAACGGCTGCAGTAACTGGTCGATATAGGCAGTGAGCAGATGAGGAGATGCAGGTGGATTGATAACCGGCAAGCTTTTGTATTTTACGAGGGCGAAGGGTCGAAGTCGGCTGCTAAGCCGTGAGCGGATTTTATCAGATGCCGGTTCACTAGGACCTTTATCTTGGTCCTTGTCCGCTGACGCACTCTTGGAGAGCCGAATCACAGCAAAACTCCATCCAAGACTGTATCTATACGGCTTACGCTTTTCTGAAAACGTCTGCGTTTGGCCTGCTACGGGCCCGGCCGGCCGGCCCCGATTGGCGATCCACCAGTGACGTCACTGGTAGTGTTAAGCTGATTGGCGAATAATACATGGGGAGAACCGGGACGACATCCCCCTGCGGCGGTCGCCGGACGTCGGAGTAGGGCATGTAGATCACGTAACTGCCATTAGGACCTGTACGCCTTGATATTACACATGAAATATGAACATCATTATTTGTCATGATTAGAATACCACCTTCAGAGGATAACCGTCCGGCCTCAGATACCTATTTGAGGAAGCAAATCTAAAGACTGAAGGTGCAAATCATCTTGCAAAATTCTTAAACATGCTCAGATCCACTTGTCCGATTCACAAATTTATACCACTCCGTTCAAAATACGGAAATTACACCCTGCGGCCTCACCAACCTCCTCTGACCCAGAATAGACTACCTGCCCGACCCGTGTTCAGAACTCGCGCCGACGGCGACCGTTCCGCGGTGACGTCACACACGGCGGCGTCATCTAGAGCGTGACGTCACAGGCGGCCGGGCGCCGCGCGGCGAGCTTACACAACTCGCGTCGTTCCGTGACCGCGGCACGCGCCGTCGCCGTGTGTGCACGGAGCTCGGAGCGGCAGCGTTTCACCCGAGCTAGGAAGTGACACTCAGCTGGGTAATCGGTGATTCCGCTGGAAATTAAATCCAAAAATATACGCTGACAGCCAAGCGATGCTGGACGAAGCCATGGGCTGAAGTAGACTTATTTAATGTTTCATGTTTGAAGAGTTGACATGCTTCCAAACTCTGCCTATACCACACCTCGCTACAAAATCTGATGCACCGATAGAGAACTAATGCTCAAGCAACCACAGCTTCACGTATTCGCAGCTTCCTTTCAATTAATTACCCATAAAACAACATTGTAAACAGCCTTGTCATCCTCCTTACAACTTCATTACACGCGTCAACACCACCAGTCCTACTAATCTATTCCATTGTTCCCTCGTGTCGGCACCGTCTCCCCCATTAACCCTCTATCCGTGCCACAGGACACAGATTGTCCCTTCGTCGGTCGGTGCCGTCTACCTATAACTCTCTGTCGCCGTCTCTCCAGCTGACCTCTCTCCATTGTTACAGGACACTGATTGTCCCCCATGTCACGCCGTTCCCCCACTGACCCTCTGTGTTTCAGAGCACGGTTTGTTTCCCGTGTCGGCGCCGTTTCCCCAGCTGTCTGTGTTATAGGGAGTGTTTCCCCGTGTCGGCACCGTTCCCCAGCTGTCTGTGTTATAGGGAGTGTTTCCCCGTGTCGGCGCCGTTCCCCAGCTGTCTGTGTTATAGGGAGTGTTTCCCCGTGTCACGCCGTTCCCCAGCTGACCCTCCCTGTGTTCTCCCTGTTACAGGGCACGGTGGCGCCGAGCAGGGCAGCACGTCGCGGCGACGGCCCGCCGCTCCGGAGATGCGGCCAGTCCACCTCCGCTGACAGCATGGCCTACCGCCGGGCTCAGCCGCTAGTGGTCATGGTACTGACACTGGCAGCCCTGCCGGCCCTCGCTGCAGCCCAGTCGCGGTCTGACTGTCCCGTGCCCGGCGACCTGCGGCCCTGTGTCTGCACCAGCGAGCGCGGCGCCGTCTATGTCACGTGAGTTTATCAACCACACCGGTAATATATTGTAGGTATATACCGAGTGACTTGCCGATACTGTTCGCGATTTGCCATTTGAGTTACTGCGCCACCTTTACCATTATATTCCGTATGTTACGTGAGTGTCCGATCCCTTCCGCAATTAACTATTATATTTGTCTGTCCCCATCTGAAATGCCTAATATCACGTGAGTTCCGATTCAAGCTGGAGCATCTTCATTGTGATACAAGTTGACCAATCTTGCTGGCTTTCCACCAAAACAGCGGTAGCATGAATTCACAGAAACTCATAAATCCTGGCTTGTGTAACCCGCAACGTCCGCATTTGTTTGTCATGGTTCCGACGCAACCACTGTCATTGTCTCGGTGTCATCAGTTTGTCACGCTGTCACCATTTTTGCCGGCAACATAATTAGGTGAAACGGACGTCGTGCGCACGTCGGTCATTTTGACAGCCTAGTCATCAACCAAAGCATTGTTATGCTCGTACCTAACGTTTAGATGCAACATCCAAGTCTTGCATGACAATGATAAAGGAAAAAAATGTTTGGATATTTGGTAGGCTAAGGAGAATCCCACAGAAATAGTTCATGCCATGTCAAACGTTTTTCGCAAAGCTAAACAATATTGAACGGGAGACTCATTATCACGTGGATGCAAAGTCTTACTGGAAACTTTATTTCATTCATTTAAGCAAAGGTTTCAATATAAAAAAACACACTCATACGATCAGCAAATCAGCTACGCATCACTTGCGTAGACACCTTTCATTCTTTGCTCAAAGTACACGTGCATTGATACGCCGACTGTGCTGCAGGAAGTTATACACTTACACAGTCCTATAGTCTATATCGTGGTGTAATTGTTTTGTGAATTCCAGTGGCTTCCATCCCATGGTCTTAACTGCTGATCGTGCATGTGTTACCGCCGCCTTCGACTGGTTGCGGTACTCTCATATTCACTGTGTATTCTCCTGTAAACCCTGGTGCTACTGTCACATGAACTATTGCAGTCTCTGTCCCCTGGTGTTACTCTTACACAGACTCCTGCAGTCTCCCGAGTCCATCCCTTGGGTTACTGTTACGTGAGCTCTTGCAGTCTCCACCCTGGTGCTACTGTTAAATGAACCAATGCAGTCTCTAATTCCATATTGTGCTACTGTCATGTGAATTGTTGCAGTCTCTAGCATCTCGGGTTACTGTTACATGATCTGATGCAGTCTCCATGTTGTAGCGTTGCTGTTAGACTACCTACTCAGTCTTCATACTCTGATGTTAGTGTTAGACTAGGTGATGCAGTCTCCGTGAAGTGTTACTGTTACATGTACTATCGCAGTCTCCATACGCTGATGTCACTGTAACGTGAACTAATGCATCCCTCTCTTGATGCTACTATACTGTCATGAACTATTGCACTCCCCATACCATGACCAATGGTGTCGCTGTAACAGGCACTTTTACCGCCATCATCTCGTGGTGTTACTTTCACATAAACCAGCAAAGCTTACTTACTCTATATCTATTTGTAGTGGTGTTGCTGTAATCGTCAATGCCTGAGGGAGGATGTACTCGTAATACAAACGGTCGACATTTTCACGCATATCATTCAGCACTGATCAAGTGATCACCATACCAGCACGACGGGGTGTATGCTGACAAGTGTGTTCCTTTGAATGATCTCACACCCGACAAGTATTTTACCCAATTATGGTGATGTGACCTACCTCTGCCCCTCGGCCCTCCGAGGCGTGAAAATTCCGCCCTGACCAAGATCTGCCCCTCTGCCCTTCCTCAGGTGCGAGAACGCCATTCTCACCAAGATCTGACCCTCTGACCTTCCCCAGGTGTGAGAACGCCGCCCTGGCCGAGGTGCGCGATGCGCTCGCGGCCCTGGCGCGGTGGCGTGGGACTGTGGAGCGGCTCACACTGCGCCACAACCGGCTGTCGACGCTCTCAAACAGGCTGTTCGACGGCGTGCGTCTGTTCCGGCTGGAGCTGATCGACAACGGCGTGACCATGGTGGACCGCGGCGCGTTCCATGGTCTCGAGCGCTCGCTGACCCACCTGCTGCTGCAGGAGCCCGCCGCTGACATGTTCGCCTTCGACGCCTTCGACGACCTGTACACGCTCGAGTCGCTGCACGTGGAGCGCACGCCGCTGCAGACGATGCCGGCTCTGGCGCGCGCCGACCGGCTGCGTCTGCTGCACATCAACGGCACCGGCATCACGCAAATCGCGGCGCGCTCGTTCGGAGGCACTCCGGAGCTACGCGAGCTACACTTCACGCACAACCCGACCGTGGCGCTCGGCGAGGCCGCGCTGATCGGGCTCGGCATGCTACGCGTGGCCGACTTCAGCCACAACTCGATCGGCTACATCCACCCGCGCGCGCTGCGGCCGGCCCAGCAGCTCGACCACCTCTCGCTGGAGGGGAACGGCCTGCGGGACGCCACGGTGGTGACGGTGGCGGCGCGCGAGGCGCCCCGACTGCGCCGGCTCGACCTCAGCGGCAACCTCATCGAGCACGTGAAGACCGGCACCTTCGTGGACCTCAGGAAGCTGGAGAGTTTGGACCTACGACAGAACCTCATCACAGAGGTGGACAGGGACGCTTTCCATGTTCTTCCACAGCTGAAGCGACTAGATCTCACCAATAACTATCTGAATTCGTTGAAAAAGGAGGCGTTCTACAGCATGGAAAACTTGGAACAGCTGCTTCTCAAGAACAACAACATCTCTGATCTCGTAGGCTGCGCAGACGTTTTGAGGCGGCTCCCGGAGTTGCGCATTCTAGATCTGAGCATGAACCTCATCGAGACAGTTCCCGATGACACATTCAGTCACCCGACGCTGGAAATCATCTACCTGAACCACAACAACATCAAGGAGCTGACGCCATCCAGCTTTATCACGCTCCCCAGTCTTAGAGAACTGCATCTGCATCATAACTTCCTCGCCTTGAGCCCGGCCGCTGGGGGCGCCTGGTGGGACCTGCCCAAGCTGACCGTGCTGGACCTCCGCTACAACGACCTCACCCAGCTGCCGGCCAGCCTGCTGCGCAACGTCAGCCTCCTCGAGCACGCAGACTTCAGCTACAACATCATCACACGAATGGACGAAGACTGCTTCAAAGAAACACCTATCCTCAAGTACCTAAACCTTTCTTATAACTCACTCCAGTCGATCAATCCCATTACCTTCCAGAATCTGCACCAGCTTAGGCAACTGGATCTGAGCTACAATGAAATCGCATCCCTAGAGACGGGGCTGTTTTCTCACTTGGACAGGTTAGAAACGCTGGGGATGAAGTACAATAAAATATCCGTCATTCAAACCGGCTCTATGCCCACTCACGAGTCGTTGAGAGCTTTGGATCTTTCCTTTAACTTCATCGACACGTTCCCTTCGTCCGCACTGATGGAGCTCCGAGGACTGACTGAGCTGAGGATGAAACAAAACATGCTGCGCGAGGTACCGGCTGAGGCCATGCAGAAGTTGACCAGGATGAAGGATCTGGACCTGGGTTTCAACTTGCTGTCGAAGCTGGACCCCGACATGCTCCGGGCGATGAGTGACCTCCGGTCGGTAGAGCTTAGCGGCAACTTCCTCAAGACCATCCCACTGGAGCTGTTCGAGCACAACGGAGAGCTACGGCTGGTCAATATCAGCAACAACCTGCTGAGCAGCATCCCGCCCAAGACGTTCCACAGCCTGGGACACCTGGAGACGCTGGACTTGAGGAACAACACACTCACTGATTTCGACAACATGGTGAACCAGCTGCCCTCGCTCAAATACCTGGACGCTAGCTTCAACAACATCCAGGTCCTCTCCTCCACCACTTTCGAGAACACACCATCTCTGGAGCACCTGGAGATGCACCACAATTACGTGGAGCACATCAAGAGCAACACCTTCCTCAACATGCCTTCCTTACGGCACCTGGACCTCAGTTTCAACGCTCTAACCGAGCTAGATCCGGGCTCTTTCCGAGGCGACCAGCAGCTAGTCACCATGTCCCTGAACAACAACGCCCTGCGTGAGCTGAAGGAAGCCACCTTCGTCAACCTGAACCGGCTGGAGCGGCTCGACCTGCGCGAGAACCAGCTGGCCGAGCTGGACGACAAGGCCTACCAGAACCTGCCGGCGCTGCGCGAGTACGACCTCTCCTTCAACAAGCTGGAGCGGCTGCCGCGCGACTCATTCCGGAATCTACCAGCGCTGCAGAGGGTCGACCTCGGCCACAACCGTATCCTGGAGGTCTCGGACGCCGTGTTCCGACCGCTGGCCGACCTCCGCATGGTCAAGGTAGGTGAAGGGGAGATGAGTAGATGGACATAGGTAGCTAGGGTGCACGATGAGGTTGAGTGAAAGGGTGGATGATAATGTGAGTACCCGTATAGGTAGCATCAGACAGACTGGCATTTTAGGTATATTGAAATGATTTGCTAGCTTGCTAAGTAGGTGACATTGACCAGGACACGGTCGAACTCTCGCTGAATATATTGGCGGGTTAGTCGTTAGTCACCCACCGCCATGAAAAAGTGGTGATAGGGAAAAGTTAAACATTCTCTCTGCGCTTCACAGAGCTGAGCTGGCATAAAACAGGCCACGCCATGGTGCCATGTCATGCACAAAGTTTGTAATGGCAGCTGTTTGCTAGGTTCTTGCAAGGTCCGTTGAGCTAACCGACACCCGCGGGCGACAGTTGTTGTTAATTGTGATTTATGTAAGCCACCACTTGGCAATGATACAGTATGTTCGTCTGTTACACCCTCTACACTCCCAATGCCTCGACACAACCGATGACCTTCGCAAAGCGCTAACTCTAGGCCAGCGAGTGGATTAACAGGGCAATAATAGTTGTCTTGATAAATCAGGGCTAGTGACAGTCAATATGCCCGAAAGTATTGTAAAGCCGCTTTCAGTGGTGCTCAAAAGGGGATGGAAAATTATTTGATGCAAACTAAAACGCCAGTGAACTGTCGGTCCTAAAAGGAAGAAGCTCGTTACGATATCGATTGCCAAATTTCGCACCCATCACCATCTGTTGGTACAAAGCTGTTTGTTGGTTTATTGGGTCTATAGGGCGCACCGACTACCAAGGTCATTTTGCGCCATGGAACAAAGTTGTAATGGTTCGGTTTAAGCAATTACGAGCGGCAATACCCGTCCACCGGCAACTGTTGTGTGACCTCCGTCCGTCACCGTTACTGATCCGGCATCGCCGCGCGCGCGGCTAACCACGATCGTTTCCGAACCATGTGTGCCCCGGAATTCAGCCTTTGTGGTCGGCTGGCCACGGCAGGACCGTTCCGTGATGCGACCGATCTGTGTCCTGTTCCGTGCGTGCTCCGTGGACGGACTGATACCAGGCTGACCGACAAGGTCACTCACCGTGACTGTGGATAATTGTGGTAGAGCGCGCTGCAGGGTAACCCGACTGCCAGCGTTAGTAAAGTGGGCACCCCTCACAAAGTTTCCTTTTAACGCCTCGTATGGCACCGTTTTCACTTTCACGTACAATCACTTCACGCGTAGAATGTGTCCTAATTGCTGCAATTATATAACTTGCACGCGTCCCATTCCGCCATTATAAGCCACTAACATACCTAACGCGACCACCGACCAAACCGCCACAAACCGCTGGACATTTGCCACAATTCCCGATCGTAAATACCCTCGCGAACTCTGCATCAGCGACGACACCGTTGGTTGAGACAGTGCCAGCGATCGCCTGGGGCGGTGTCATCGGGTCGGCAGTGACCCATGACCCCGTCCCCCTCTCCCCATCGATAGCCCCAGTGACGGGCCGAGCGGCGGACCGTGACGATTGACACGCTCGTGACGGTAGGACGGCCAGCGCCGATCGTGATGGTCGCTGATAGCAGAGTCCGAAGATAGACAGCTAGATAAAAGGGAAGATCAGCTAGGGAATACCGTGTGACAGAGGTGTTGAAAGCGCCGATAAATGCAGGCGACCGAGCTGACCCGTGACATGGTTCAGAGGGCTACTTTCATTAGCACGAAACAGCCGTGGATAACACTGAAATCGGCCGGCGGCAAGAAGGCGTCACGATTATTTTGACGGCCGCGAGGTCCGGCCATCCCTTGTAGAATTAGTGATCCCTTCCCTGATCAAGTGCTCTTTACTCATATAATTAGGCCCACAACTACCTACCTCGCTCCCCCTCCAAACGTTTACCGGTCAAGTGGGTCTCACTCTTCCCTGACCACATAGGGAACAACCTCAGTGTTAACCACCGTCTGTCACTCCTCAACATCATTACCCTATTATGTTCTCCGTGAGTGAAGCCCCTCACTCCCGTCACAGCCGAGCGACTGAGCAGTGGGTACCCAACACTCGCAGCATCATTACCCCATGTTCTCCCCCACTGACGCCCCCCGTTCTCGCCACAGCTGAACGATAACGGTATGTGTCGGATCCACGAGGACGCCTTCTCGGGCCAGCGGCATATGGACACCGTGCTACTGCAGAACAACCGACTGCGCTCCCTCCGGAAACCCCTGTTCCGGCGGGTCACCTCACGAATGCGACACCTCGAGGTCTCAGGTAAGTTGGGGTGTGATGGTTCACAGAATGAAATGTCAGCGGGAGTGCCACGCTTGGGAGCGCACGAGAGTGCTGTTTTCTCCATTGAAGTGTTCATCGCTCTTTTCACTTTTCTGCGATTTTGTCTGACGAATGCGAGTGAAAACGGAGTCCTTTGATAACTACAGTAGGGGAAGTTGGGGGAACGCCGAACACTTTTTTGCTGACGCCCGTAGCACGCAAGATAGACAACATAAGCTATTCTTGTTGGCGTCATTCGAGAGGCCAGTCTTTTGTCTTTCAAACATACCAGGCGCATTTGATGAATTCGCATACCGTTAAGCGCAAAAACTAAAAATATCAAAGAACTGACTTTTTCGGCGTTGCCCCGGACTGCGGGGAAAGCCGAAAATGGGATAAATGATCTACGAGGAATACCGACATTGATGTTTTGCCAATTTATCTCAAACTTTATCCAAAATTCATCAAAGCTGACACGCGTTGCTTGAGGACGCTTGGTGCACACTGGAAGTTATAATTGTGTGATATAATAAGAAAATGCCAGGCAAATCATTCCTTATAGGTAACAGGCCGTTGTGCCGGCTGAAAGTGTAATTTGTTTGACTAAAAATACGCGTTGCTATTCTACAACAGTAAAGTCCACGTAGCGTGCTTTAACGTGCGTAATTGCACGTTTTCGGCATTACCCCAGCCAGCCATACTTTCATTTGCAGGCCCATAACTTTTAAACGTGCTGTATAAATTTCAAATAGGCAGCACACTTATGCAAAGACATGCTGAAGATTACTTGACCGAATTGGCCAGACAAACGGTAGCATAATGAGTAAGAAATGCAGCTTCAAAGGCGCATGTAGTACAAGGAAACGTACCTTGAAAACGCTTTTGGCGCCCTCACAGCCGAAGTATTCCAAATGACGACTCATAACAAACATGCGATAATTGTAGTCACTTAAGCTTCAGAGCATCACTGAGACGTGGCATCCATGTCGTACGGTTTTAGAAATATCTCGAATTTCGGCGTTGCCCCAACTCCGGCATTGCCCTAACTTCCCCTAAAGAGACAACTACTCTCAGAGTTGACTGAATGTCGATGAGACCCGGACAAAGCACTGACTCGGCGTCATGCCGCCCTCCGCAGGGAACCCGCTGCGCTGCGACTGTGAGATCCAGTGGCTACGGGACTGGCTCGGGGAGCTGCGAGAGCTGCACCCGCCGGCCGCGCGGCTGCTGCGCGAGCCCATCTGCTACTACCCGCAGGCCATGCGCGGCATCCCCATGCTGCGCACCAGAGAGAATGAGTTCACGTGCGAGAGGTGAGTATCTTCAGAGACGAGGTAATTGGTGAGTGGGGAAGACACAGACCCCACGAGCAAAAATGATTGTGCAATAGGACAGGGCTTAAACGGTGAGCAACTTATCCGCGTAGGTGCTGAATCAATCCATAATCTAGAGGAAGTCTTGGGCTTGTATGCCTGTGGCTGTAACCAGCGAGGCATTGACCAGGGTCAGCGACACTTCATGTAAATGTTTCCACTAAACATACATCATCGAGCGCTGGATTAGACAGGAAGCACGCGCCGCCGGCCGACGGACGGGCGGCCGCGCCCGTGCTAATCACCCGTGAAACGACGGTTAACCGACACCGCCCGGCGGCGTGCTTCCCGTCACACCGTGGCCGCTGACAGGGGCGTCCGGGCACGCGTCACGCGGCGTCACGGACGGACAGCGTGTCAGTGGACGTCACGGATCTCCCAGGGCGTTATTCGTAGTAACTCACTGCTCTCATGTGCCACATCATCTTCCAACACGTAACCGGTCACGTCCAATGCCAACCCAGTTTATTTCACGTCCCGCATTACGCCCCCGCGCACTCAATCACGTCTCCAGTTGCGCACACCACGTCACGTCACGTCCGTTCCGTTCACAGGGCGTCCGTGGACGAGGAGCCGTGTCCCGAGTTCACGGACGTGGAGCTGCGTGTGTTCCAGCCCACGCCGCGGCCGGCCGGGTCCAGGAACCCGCACCAGCTCACCGGATACGATGGGGAGTACGACACGGCGGCAGGTGGGTAGCAGACGATACAGATCGACGGGGGAGAGACCCTGGCGTGAGGAGATTGAGGATAAGTGGGGTCGTTATGGGCTGAATGAGGATTGTTGGACGTTGCCTGTCAAGGTTCATGACTATGCTTTGGGTAGCCGTCCAGTCTTAAAAGCGTATAAAAAATAATAATAGATAAAGAAGTAGCGAACCGAAAAATAATCATTACAATTGACAGGCCGATACCTGATGGGAGGGACTTCTGATAATAAGGATCGGATTATGAGACATGTTTCCCTTTCTCGGAGTCCTTAGTCCATTCCGATTGCCACGCCCCGTCTCAGTGGCTACAATAGATTGGTCCCGGACCTCACCCCTCCCGCCCATCTGTCCCCAGACTCGGCCAACGAGATCACCACTCCGTCGGCATCCACCGCGGGGGCGCCCACTTCCGGACAGCGGACGGCGGCGGTGACGGCCGCCGAGACGACGGCGCAGATCGCGGCGCCGACGGCCACCACGCCGCTGGCCGTGGCCGACCCCAACTACACGGCCGGCGACACGCCCACCATCTACGTCGGCTCCGTGAAGAAGCAGGCCGAGGTGCAGAAACAGACCGACGCCGCCAAGGGAGGAGGTGGAGGAGTGGGGGCGCTGGGTGCCGGACTGGCCTCGGCGGGAGGTCTGCTCGGCACGCTGGGTACCCTGGGAACGCTAGGGACGCTTCTGCCGAAACTGGGACTCACGTTTGGACTGGGGAATTCGAACCGTAACTCGGACCGGAGCGGTCACGTGGCACAGGGCCACGACCGACCCCGGCGGCCGCTGCCGCCTCAGTTCGCCGGACACAACAAACAGTATCCGAACCAGCAGCGCCGGCCCGACTTCTACGCGCAGCGGAGCCGGCCCGGGGCGCCGCAGGCTCCACCTCGCGGCCGGCCCGAGAACCAGCGCCCGCCGCCAGGGAGCGCCACCAACCGGCCATCGACGAGGCCCCGCCAGCCGCCGCCGCCTCCACCGCGGCAAAACACGGAGCGTCAGCCGCCCGGGCGGCCGCCTGTCCCATCCGACCAACTATTTGTGCCGGCCAAGCACGGCCACATCCGACACAACGACGTCGTCGACCCGCTGGGCCTGAACGCGTTCGTGTTCCCCGACCCGCAGCTGAACCCGGGTGCCTCCAGTTCACACAACTCAGTCGTGTTCGCTGGAGAGGAGAGTGCTCCGTCCCCGGCTCCGGCACAGAGACCAGCCACGCCCGAGACCATTCCGATGGATGCGCCGTTCGTACCCAGCCCCTCGTTTGACGCCGAGCCCCAGGAGATGAACGGGTTCCGACCGCTGTCGGAGGGAGGACAGCGGCCCGCGGCGGCGCCAGCAGTACCCGGGGGGAGTCGGTTTGGCCTGCAGGACGTGTGGTCCGAGCGGCCGGCGCCCGGTTCGGAGGGCACTCCGCCGGAGGGAGCTGATGAGGCCGGGGTAACGCTGGACATGCTGCTGGACGAGCTCCGGCAGCTGGAGCAGGACGCAGCGGCCGGGGAGCGACAGACCACTACCAGCACGGAGCGCGCGCGACCCTCGACCACCACCACGGAGCGCGAGCCAAGCACCGAGCAGAGCTACCCGTCCGACGAGCTGGCCGACTTCAGTCTGGACCACCTGCTGAGCATGATCGCTGAGCAGTCGACGCCGGGGTCGGTGGAACGGCCCGAGGGCGGCACAGGATTCTCCGACTTCACCACCCCGCCCCCGCCTGCGGAAGAGTACCAGGAGATAGCTGAGACGTCCGAGTCGCGCCCCGGCGACACGCTGGCCGCTTGGTTTGACGCGACAGACGACACAAAGCGTCCTCAGTCTACCACGGAGCGCCAGCCGGCGATCACGAGCACAGAGCGGACCGACGAGACGACCCCACTGTGGACAGACGTAGCCGACCGTCGAGCCAGCACCGAGTGGCCGGTCCACGCGCTAGACGAGGCCTCGGAGAAACACCAGCTGACCGAGCCAGCGCCGGCGGCCGATGACGACCAGCTCTCTGACGTGCTGTCGAACGCGCTGTCGGATACATTCTCCGACTGGTTCTCGAATGAGCCGGAGGAAGAGACCACGGTCAGTCCGGCGCCGGAGGAGCGCGCAGAGACCACCACGGAGACATCTGACCCTCCTGAGCTGGACACGGTCTCACCCGATCACGGCTGGGGACGGCCCAAAAATGCCACATACGAGGCGAGACTGAAAGCCGAGCTGGCGGTTCACACTAAGGAAGAAGCGTCTCCTCCACCGCCTCCGATGGTGAGGACGACCGCGGCGCCGCCGCCTCCCCCTGAAGCCGAACTGCCGGCGTCCCCTCGCGGCCGACCGAGCATCACCAAGGTGGAGGCTTACGACAACCAGTACGACCTGCCGCAGTTCATAGCGCCGCGCGGCGGCGGCCTGGGTCCTCAGCAGGCCGCGCGGCCGCCGCCCGACGAGCCCGAGCCTCCCCAGGCGCCCGAGAGCAACACGATCCCGTTCGGAGACAGTCTGTCGCAGCAGCCGGCGCTGGGCCGCTCCCAGCCGGCGCGCGACACTGCCAATGAGTGGTACTTCAAGAACTACTTCACGGACGAGCTGGAGGTGTCCCGGCCGGCCGACCAGTGGCCGCCGTACCGCGCCTCAGTCAGCGGTAGCGGGGCAGGGGAGCCGACCGGCCGGCCGCTGCTGGTCGCCACTCTGGTGGTCGTGGCGGCGGCAGCGTGGGGCAGATGGTGATGGACGAAAGGACGGGGTTCGATTCTTCCCGGGACCACACAGGGGAGAAGGGAGATAGCATAGTGAGTCTGGATCGACCCGACAGCGGGATACTACGAACAGACGGCAGCGGTCCTGGCGAGGGCTAACCAACGATCCGGTACCAGCAATGCACCGATATGCAGAATGCGGGCCTACCAAGGCCGTCGAGCAAGAGCCGAATTCAGACCAACCTCGAGCCATACCTGGCTTCCACCTAACGCCCGATGCGTCAACTGCCCCGTAGCCCGGCCGCGGGTCCGCGAACCCGACACCGCGAGCGCACACTTGTTGTTACGCACCCCGAGAGGATATGACAGAACATAAGTGCTTTCCAGTCGCCCGCCGCGGCGCGGGCGGCGTCCAGTTGTGACAGAGCTGTCCTGTTGAGCGATTTCCATGTAGTTTCCATGCGCTTTAGATAGCCGCGAGCCGCGTTGTGAGCAATAATTGTTTGTGTGAGAGGAGGGTGATTAGTTTATATTTGTGTCCAACTTCACTGAAATATCCCGAAGGTATTGTGTGTTGTCGTTGATTTGTATATGCCCATGGTGTACGATTGTCGGTATATCGGTAAATATTGGTAAATGGAGCACCTGCGCACGCGAATCCCTCACAGAAATCTGGAATTTCCCTATCGTGTATGATATATCCTATACCTAGTGTAAACACCTCATATTGTGTATTCGTTTTAATAAACGTTATTTTCTTAGGATCGGACTCTCAGTTTGCATTCTACGAGTGATCACTGATCCATATACCAACGACAAAACGAAGAAAACACGCTCCTGTGAACCGCACATCCACTTCCGGGATCTACATAATAAAACTTATATATAAAATTAATTCCATAAGAATTCTGATAAGCGAGTAGCGAGGGTTACAATTCGCCCGCACTTCCACGATCCCCTAGGTGACCAAGCTTGCAGAGCGCACGCTGCACAGCCGTGCCCCCAGAATCGCATTTAGCGCTTACGGTTTCGTTGCTTGTTGGGATCAAGGACGAGGCAACGGGAGTCAATATGAGCCAGGAGCCTGTCATTTGGACGGAGCATTTGGCTCTTGCATCAGGCCCCTCCCACCTCCATCCCTCGGAACCAGCGCCGAGAATAGTGCGATACTTTTTCACACACACACGAATCCTCGATAGAACAGGTCGCTCATTGACAAAGCCCAGGGCATGGACAGCATAACAAATAGCAAATCATCTAGGGCAGCAAGGCCCAAAATTACTTTTGGCGTCAACGATAGAAAAGACATTCTTTAGTTATGTGATCGTTTTATTGCATTCGTATCGATCGTAGATGCATAGTGAAATGCTAGTCGAGCACGGTTCTTTGGTGAGTTATTGAGCCTAACTGAGCCTAACTGCGCACCGCACAAAGAGCCAGATATAGTCTAATTCACACACAAATTAATATCAATTCCGCGTCGTATACGTCGTGACTGAGACCGAAACCCACGCAACCATTCCGTATGCAGTTATGCAAATATTTTACCAAATATGTATCAAATACCGCTAGAAGTGGCCTATCCGATCACTGTCAAGGGCGTGAAAATTACACAAGCGTACTTAAATGTATGGAAAGTTTGTTAGGCAGTTCATTAGACATAAGTGATGTTGCATAAAAAAACGGAGACGTATAGGAAAAGTCAAAGACAGTCAAAACAAGGCGCACATGCTCTACAATGCAATCGAGAATTGGCCATCCGTGGAATCATAACCGAAAAACTACGTATGGGGATGAGCAATGAGAACATCTCGGAAACACCATATATGGACAGGTTCGCGAGGCAGTGCCTACGAGACTGGGCTAAGGTCGGACCCGGGCTCCAAGGCGCCAGAATTACCAACAAAGCAGTGGTCTTCTGGCACTGCCGATGAGAGACAACACAAGGAACCGATGCGCCGCCTTGTCAGCGCTGCCTCACCAGCCTATCCGAACTCTCCCCGAACGGCGGCAGGGCCCAGGGACTGTCCCTAGATCTGGGACCAGAGACGGTCCAGGGGTCCGGGACCAGACGGTCCGAGACCAGACACGCCCCATGGTCCGGGACGGTCAGGGACGCACCTGGCCGCGCCTGCTGGCGGTACGTCCGTCACGACTGGCGCACGCAGCTGGAGCACCGCTCGAGCACGCTCTGCCGGAAGCGGCTCTGGTCGCTCCACAGGTCGGCCGCCTGCACGTTCAGCGGACTGCTGTTGTTGGGCTCTGAAACAGACAGGCGGCAGGCTGGTAAAACAGTGTATATGAGACATGAGAATCGAGCGTGTGGTGCGGTTGTAGCAAAGGGAGCGAGCTTGCAAAGCAACACCGAAAGGTAGAAAACAAATGGTTGCATTTCCGGCATGCTCTATAGAGCTAATATCATAGACTGCAGGTCACCCGCCCGCGAACCCGGCGGGCTGGCGGATCGATCGACGTGACTCACCGCCAAGCAGACTCTGTATGGAGAGGAGCAGCGCGCGCACGTCGTACGACGCCGACCACTTCTCCTTGAGGATGTCCAAGCAGATGTTGCCCTGCTGATCGACGTTCGGGTGGAAGCAGGGCGACGTGAAGCGCACGGTGGGCGCCGAGAACGGGTAGTTGTTGGAGAACTCCAAGCGCAGCTTGAACTCGATTCCCTCGTACACCTGTGGACCGGGGGAGACCATCAGCAAACAGGAGGAGGGCGTGTGGGCCAGGGCGGCAGGCGAGGCGAGAAGTCGGCGCGAATAGGCAGCAGCTGCTGGCGAAAAGTGAAGAGCAAAGAGGATGATTCTGATCCACCAGCTGAGTCAAGTGAAATGAGTGTCTCATCCACCACGAGCAGAAGTAAAAAGTTTAAGATTAAAAGTGCAGTTGCTGATTCAAACTAAACCTCCAGGCAGTGTGGCCCGGACCACTGGCTTACCGTGTTGGCAGCACCAGAGATGGTAGCCACCCAGCTAAAGAGGTTGTCACCATCGGGGAATGCAGAGATGCCTTTATCTCCAGAAGTCTGTGAAAAGAGATTATGGTTCAAGGGTGACAAAACAATCAGGAATGTGGATAGATACATCCACATTCATAAGCAATCACAAATACATCCACATCAAAGCAATCCACATAAAATACATGCTTTGTGAATATATCATATTACCACCAGTATAGCGCCTTTTGGGGCGACTAACGGAGCGAGCGAGAGGGTGAGCCTTGCACGTGCGAAATTTCGAGGGGTACCTCCAACTGACTTGTGCACGGCACCCTACTAACCGGTCTCTAGCGATGTGCCAAATTTGAGCACAATCGGCCCAGCCGTTCTCGAGATCTGGAAGCGGCACCCTGCACGTGCGCACGTGCAGAATGGGTCCCAACTGACTTGTGCACGGCACCCTACTAACTGGTCCCTAACCGTGTACCAAATTTGAGCGCCATCGGTCCAGCCGTTCTCGAGATCTGGAAACGCCCCCTGCACGTGCGCACGTGCAGCAGCACCCCAACTCTGACACATGGATATGCAGTGCCTAGTGGGTGCCTACCTACATGCCAACTTTCAGCGCAATCGGCCAAGTAGTTACCGAGATATTGCAACAATTACAAAAGTGACACCTCTTCGTTTTGCACGTGGCACGTGCATAAGGGGTCACCCACATGCATCGGGAATAGTCCAATACTTGGTAGAAGGAATGAAGCTACCCTACAAAAATTACCCCGTGTAAATCGGTCAAGTGGTTGCTGAGATATAAGCCTCGCAAAAGCGTCCGCACGGCCGGCCGGCCGCTCATACTCAGAAATTTCCGTTATTCTACGTAAGACTCCGCTCGCTTCGCTCGCTCCGTAATTAATACCAGTATAACGCCTTTTGGGGCGACTAACGGAGCGAGCGAGAGGGTGAGCCTTGCACGTGCGAAATTTCGAGGGGGTACCTCCAACTGACTTGTGCACGGCACCCTACTGACCGGTTTCTAGCGATGTGCCAAATTTGAGCACAATCGGCCCAGCCGTTCTCGAGATCTGGGAGCAGCACCCTGCACGTGCGCACGTGCAAAATGGGTCCCGACTGGCTTTTGCACGGCACCCTACTAACCGGTCCCTAACTGTGTACCAAATTTGAGCGCAATCGGTCCAGCCGTTCTCGAGATCTGGAAACGACCCCTGCACGTGCGCACGTGCAGCAGCACCCCAACTCTGGCACATGGATATGCAGTGCCTAGTGGGTGCCTACCTACATGCCAACTTTCAGCGCAATCGGCCAAGTAGTTACCAAAATATTGCAACAATTGCAAAACTGACACCTCTTCGTTTTGCACGTGGCACGTGCATAAGGGGTCACCCACATGCATCGGGAATAGTCCAATACTTGGTAGAAGGAATGAAGCTACCCTATAAAAATTACCGCGTGTAAATCGGTCAAGTGGTTGCTGAGATATAAGCCTCGCAAAAGCGTCCGCACGGCCGGCCGGCCGGCCGGCCGGCCGGCCGGCCGGCCGCTCATACTCAGAAATTTCCGTTATTCTACGTAAGACTCCGCTCGCTTCGCTCGCTCCGTAACAATGTGGAATTCATTCAATTCATTCATTGATGTGAAAGCGATGAAGAGCAAATGAACACTTCACTATAATGGGTTTTATGACTTACACTTAAACAAAGCAAAATAACAATGTGACAAATTTCATTGAAATCCTTAACAATGAACAAACATGAACAAAACTACATTTTAATACCTAAGGGAAATTAAGAAAAATATGACTGCTTACCATCAATGTCATCAGTTCTGCTTGAAGCCTGAAAAAAGGATGATATCAGAATGCATAGATAACATGAATCAGAATGGTATTCTAAAAACACCATTGAAAATCAGATACCTACATTGCCTATTTGGAATCAAAATTCAAGAAAATGATAGACAAAAAAATGTACTGAATAGTATCAATATAGGTAAAAGCTGCAGAGTAACAGCTAACTATTAAAATTGTCAGAGCTTTAAATAAATTTCTCACCTTTTGCTGACACTGTGCTGATCACGCTTGTTTCCAGAGAGACTCATGGTGTGATCTGAAAAGATGGTCTGGTTAGATGTTAATGTTATGACTCAGACTAGAACCCTTGTTGTTAAGTAGGTACACTGAAAATGAGGTACCTAAGAACAAAGTAGGCACTAGCTATTCTAGGAATACCTAGATACCTGATACCTACCTATTGATTTCATTATTCAGTAAACCATAGAGACACATGAGTATTGAATCTAAAGCTTACTCACATTGAAAGAAATATACCACTTTTAACATGGAGTTTTGAACTAGAATAGCAGTATGTAGCTTGTGCTGAAGCTAGCACAAATCAGGAGCTTTTACACCCCAATGATCACCCTATGCTGTATGCAAAGATATTTCATTTCTTGTTCCAAAAAGAGTGCCTTGTAGAGGAATGTCACTTGAAGAAGAATGTTATGTATTCAGCCACTTGTCGCAGTGGTTAAGCTCAGCCAATCAGCATGCAGGTGCTTTTGAACTACGCAATGTGAATGGTCAATGCATAAGCATCCGCACCACCACTATTTAACTGCTACCAAAAATGGAATCTAGTTCTCCCATATGAAAAGAAGTTTTAAAAAATGTCTTTCATAAATATTAGTTGCTTTATTTTCTAATCATTTAAGGCATGAAATCATAAAACTGGAGCAAAAAAATTAGCTTGAGGAAAGTTAGTGTGGTTTGGATAAATGATAACAATAGCACGCCGGCCTAATGCATATTTAGACACAAAGCTTTCAGAATGAAAATACCAGATACCTTGATCACTATGTTAAACAGTAGGTAATTGTAATGAGGACAGAAATTATCACCAGCAGGCAGCAGCTTGTACACAAATATAAAATAAATATAAAATGCTTAAGGTATTATATTTTGATTTGTGTTCAAGCTGTCGATTATAATATCTGTCAAGTTAAGTTAAATTCTCTATTTAAAAGTGATCAAGGTATTTTCATACCGAATGCTTTGTGTCCAAAAATACATTTGATGTTTTTGTAATCATTCATTCTGTCTTGGATATTTACATTCGTAGAAGCGCTTTATTTCCTCATCCTTTACTCACAGCATGGAAGCTAGATAAACGCAAGTTAAATACTTACCCAATTTTTCAAAAATTCAGTTACCGAAAAACGGCTGAAAATCAGCGAGAATCGTGTGCAGAGAACTCGATACTGCAAAAGCGGTGACGGAAGTGTTTGAAAATCGCGCTCCGCCGTTACGAAACTGCGCCACTGTATTTACTGCGCCAGACATGGCGATAATTTTAAACATTGTCTTCTAATCTACTGCAATATTATTTGCCTCCCCTATAATCTGCAGCAAACGTTCAACGCAACTGTAGTGCTGAGCTGTGGCCAATATACTGAAGCTACATATTAAAAAAAATGAGGTTTTGCCCTACGTTTCGTGTTTTGCTTTTTCATGGGCATATGAATTAAAACAATGTTTTATATAGGTATGGAATAAAAATAAATATTTTATTTCTTGTGCCCAGCCCATGAATATGCAATATGTAAATGCGAAACATCGGGCAAAACCTCATTCTTGAATATATATATAGAAGGAAACTACCTAGATCGGTAGTTCATCGGTAGTTGACCTAGATCGGTAGTTCAGTCTTAGTTAAAAAATTAAATAATGATGTCACCTAAACCTTGATATCTCAAAATCTGCCGATCTAGGTGCTACATACCTACCCAAATTTTGGCGAGCCTGCGGCGCGCCGTTTTTTAGCTTTGGCGCGACGGAAAAGTAGGCGGCGTAATCTGCACATCATATGACGTTTATGTAGGTCCACGACCACTAGGAAGAGATACATGCCTAGATGGAGCCACAGTGCGCCCGTCGCCGTACGGGTAGGTCCTTACGGCCATCAGCCGTACGGGTAGGAGCTGAACGAAAATAGATGACGCTGTTGCTGTCCTCAGCTCCATAGAATTGAGTGTGTCGGATCGCTAATACCTATCGGGAATAATGCCACGTCAGATGCTAAAGTATTTTACTTGACTGGTCGAAAACGTATCGATATTTGCAGCCGTTAGGGATTGGTATCGACTATCGGTAGGTAACGTATTAGTGTCAGACATATTAAAAAAACGTTCGATAAAAAACAGGCGGTGAGAGGCGTAAAAAGGCTGTTTATTTGATTTCCTGTACCTATCTACCTAAGTACTTGGTTCCAATGAGACCTATTATCTGTGACGTGCTGATGGTCTGAATTTTCCCTGTAGTGCTGAGAGGGCATTTTTACACACCCCCCCTCTAACTCGCCTCTGGGCCAAATAGGGACACGCGGCGCTCGTTCGGTAGCGTTCGGACTGGCGTTAAAAATAGCCAAGAAGGTTATTCGGTAATTTTTTAGTTCAAGCTAAAGGTCAGGTCACCAGTAGTCATCGAAGGTTAAATTTCGCCTTCTCGGCAATTTTTGACAAATCGGTGCATAGCATAATTCAGAAAAAAAAAAAACGAGAAAGCGCATACCAATTTTGAAAACTTTTTAAGAGCTTCCACGATATTGAGTTCACCGGCAACGTACGTCGTACTTCTCTTGGGAGACGTGTCAAAGGAAAAAATTGACCTTAACCCGCGCCCTGGTGGGGTCTGTTTATAACGCGACCTGGTGGGGGGGGGGGGGCTATTTTTTGCCCCCCTCGTATCTCCGAAACTACTGGACGGATCCGCAAAATTCAAACGGCGTTCGAAAGGCCTGTCAAATTTGACGCAGGAAACCAGATTTCATTGACCTCGGGGTCACCGATGACGTCACAGGTCAGGTCAAAGATGAAATGTTTCACCGTTCACGGGTCTGCTAGGGAATGCGCTATAACACCGAGGAAAACGCATTTTGTCGATAATCAGCGATAGGGCGTCAGTTGCCTAGTAGATATGTTGCTATTAGAGGTCACTGACAATACCAGGTCAGGTCACAGGTCAGGTCACCAAGGGTCACAGGTCAGGTCACATGAGCCCAACTTAACCCTCGCCCGTAAACGGCGATCTGCCACCTTCGCCCATGCAGGGGGGGGGGTTGGTGCGACCCCCCCCCCCTTGGCGTTTGAAAACGGAGCGTCGTAGAGCTTAGCGGAAAAGACCAACGGATTGCTCTCAACGAGATCTCGCGATTGATGGTATATTTTTTGGTCCTAGGTCAACATTTAACCTACTTTTGACCGGTCAAAGGTCAAATTTTCGGAAAAATAGACTTTTTCAACTTTCCGCGGCGATTGCGGCAAAACGGTGGGAGATATCGACTTGAAACCTTCACTATCGTGTTCCTTGATCAATTCTCTATCGTTTGGTATCCCAGCCAGCAATTCGCTTGGGCTGAACTGTGGCAAACGTCAGGCAGCTTGGGCTTAGCTTGGGTTTGCCCACTTTGATCAAAACCAATGCATTTTTTACTAGGGCTGAGCTGGGGCATGCCGCAGCTATGCCCACGTGCGGATAGCAGTAGCTCAGCCCGACATCTGCCCGCGCATCCAAAACAGGCTTAACTTGGGTGGAGCGCGGGCTGATCAAGCTGGCTGTGTCCTTCGGCTAACTGGAGTAAAGCCGGAGCTTAGCCATACTTGTTCGGCTGTTCGCGCATGCGCAGTTCTGCACCAATCATGTGCAGCGTTTGTGACAGTCTGTGCGCTGTGCGACGAAACGACACACCGGTGTTGGGGCATTTGGTGGTTGATGTTTGGGCGCGTGTGACAGCGCGAAGAAGGGATAGTGCTCACTGCTCTTATCAAGTGGACTGGCATGGAGTTTTACGGTAGGTAAGTGTATTGAATGGTGCGCTTGATCCAGGGGTGTCGATTTTTCAAAATGGTTGGGGGTGCTCAACCCCTGCACCGGGTGAAAGATTGCAGCTTTGACATGGGGCACAACCGTACAAGGCAGGGTTGGGTATCCCTATATGGTACTGATAATCCCGAGATTTTCACTAATATTTCCCAAGGGTAGAACGTTCTTCTTGGAGATCATTCTATTTCTGCTCGTCCTAGTTCTTGGCTACCTTATTACGTAAACATCTTTCCGAAAAAAGTGGTATATGTATTTGCCGGCAGCTCGGCAACAGCCCCGACACCTCTGTAATAAGGTGACAGAAACCGATGACCGCGATTAGCACCGGTGCAGCAGCCCCTGAGGCCCGCAGGGGCAGACATTGCGCGGAGGCATGTGACGGCCACCCACCGGTGACATTTGAAGGCCCTACACCGGCGACTCGGGCCCATCGGCGTCTGAGTCTCTAAAGACGACCCCACAGGGTTTATGAAGGTAACCACCGGCCTCTGATGGCCCTTTGCCGGCCTCTGGGCTCTGGCTCTGAGGGCCCGTCGCCGGTCTCTGGAGCCCCCTGCCGGCTTGGCAGCTCTAAGGGTCCGAGTCCGACACCCGTGTACGACGGACCCACACCAGTGTCTTTGCATCTTAACGTCTTTTTTCGCCCTTCTTCTTAAGGCATTTCTTTTCTTTACATCTTTATTTCATGTATTGTAAATTGCGTAATTGTTTTATTTTTAGTAGTGAAAGACTGTGGAACTAATTATTTTCCTCAAGCATAGTTCGTTAGTGGGAGTGGGACAAAATCATTGGGGGTGCTAACTGGAACATTTGGGGGTGCCCGGAAAACCATTGGGGGTGCTCATTTGAGCATTGGGGGCGCTGCAGCACCCCCAAAGGTATACAAATCGACACCCATGGCTTGATCGTATGTAAACGTCATGATTTTGACTGAGTTTCACGCCATCAAACATGAAGCTGAATAGCTGTTCAGCCTGGCGACTTATACCCTCGCTCAGAAAAGCCGCATTCCGTGCCTTTTATGTTTGTGAAAAATACCAGCACTTCTGGACCAGGAAAATGAAATACAAAACACAAATATTTATCTACTTATCACCGAGCACGCTCATTCTCTGTCCGCGTTGAAAATCGAATGATCATTTTATACGGATCAATGAGAAGTGCTTTTACAGTATTAATGCAACAATAAGCTATTTTTCAAGCAAACATGCAATGTAAATTAAACCAATTAATCTCTTTTTCAGGTACGTACCATTAGAGCAAATGGTTCCAAAAAAATGGAATAGTTATACAAACCAGGACCGGGTGGACGCCGCGGTCGCCCTCGCCAAGTGGTTTAGCGGAAACTGCCTGCTTATAATTAAGTAGGTATACCTACATATACGGAAACTGCGCCGAAAGCTGGCCGACCACCTACTGCAGATGTGTGTGTGTGGAGGAGCCAGACGCCTCTAAAGCTCCCATTCACCAGAGTGAAGTTCCTTATAAACGATTGTTTGCAAATTGCTTTATGTCTTATGAGCGATTACTTGCTGTCCTTACTTTATGCTTTCGGTTGAGTGTTCAACCAAGTATTATGAACGGGGAGGGAGGCTAGCGGGCCTTTGATTGTTTTATAGTTTTGATGGCGCTTTTTCATGACTCATGCCATATTATTGCTGCAGTTTGCAGTCCACTGTTTCATGTATTTGTGTTTCATTTGAGTGTCTGTAGTCGTTTGAAATATACATTCAATCAAAGTCAACCACTACTTTCCTTTCGCAATGCTCGATGACCGGTTAACAGAGCATATGAGTGACCGTAACAGTTTTAAATATGCATTGAAACCGCACAACCTGCTGAAAGTGCATTGGCTGCTCCTTGCTACTTGATCCAGTGTGAAGCAAAAGCAAGATGAAGTCAAGTCGAGACTTGAGAAAACAGGAGCCGTCACTCGAGCCGAGCCCGAGCAAAGCCACAGCAGTTTGCATTGTATAAACCCCATTCACTTCTATGGCTTAAGTCGGGATAGACAGGGCACACAGAGTGGGCTTGCCGGAGTTCAGCCTGCTCGGGCCCAGAGTAATCTCCATTATATAAATGGATTCACTGCTCGGGCTTAAATCGGGCTAACGCCAATCGTCGCTCAACTAGGGCTAAACTACGGCTGTCCGGAGCTCGCAGAGCGGGCATACCTCCGGCAGAGCATGGGCTTTAGTCGGCGTTTTTGTGTCATACGCCGACTTTAGCCCAAGCCCTAGCCGACTTTAGCCCGACTAAAAATCTCGGGCAATCCGCACTTGAGCCTGCTTGGGCCCGGAGCAAAATTGCTGGCTGGGATGTATTTCGTTTCCCTAGCTCTAAAAATGGCGCGTTGGGAGCGCCGGAAGTCGGCAAGGTCACAGTCGGCGGCAGAAATTCGAAAAATAAAAATTTAAATTTTTGAAATCTGATTGTATTTTTGGATTTGGGAGGTCCATTTGCTCCCT